CCCCCCCCATCATCCCAGCACGAAGGAAAGTCACTCAAGTCTGGAAATGGCAAACGCTGCCTGTGTGCACACAAACAAAAAGTGACGGTGTGAACAACGGCAACCGTGGAGAAGCCAAAGGTGTGCACGCACGCGCCGTTCAGTCAGCGATCCCGCCTTGCTGACGCGCCCAATCTCACCCCCTCTGACGACCTGGTCTCAAGTACTTCAGCAGATAGTTATCTGCGGCCGTTTAGTGCACACAAAGCTTGTGCGACAGGGCCGTGTTTACACAACAGCGCCCGTGCGAAAACGCGCTTGACGTCCAAATGGGGCTCAAGCGTCTTGGCTTGGCCCCAAGTTAGCCACGCGCGTGCCAGGACAGGAGGTGGCCAGGTCGGCGCCTCGCCGGGGCCGGAAACGGCGCTCATTCAAGCCGCTGCCACGGAACCCGGGCAACACGGAGCCATCGGCGCACTTTTGCTTGCCACCCGCGAGCCAACGCGAGAGGTCGCCCGGCGCCCTTCGTCCACCGACCGACGCCGGCTCGCTTTTAAAGCCTGCCGACATCCCTGCGACGGAGGCGTGTCGTGCTTTGACGCGGTCGGGGCCCGGATGACCTGAGCGAGCCCCATGGCCACCCTTGACGCATTCCGATTCCGCTCATGGAAAAAGAATGTTCAAGGGCCCGATTCTGTGGCCTTTAACGCTTCAAACGATAAATGTCGTAATTCCGGGCCGAAGATTGGCCTGGAGTATTTGTCGCCCCCAAACTACATTTTGCCCAGCCCCCATCTGAACAATATCACACCTTTTTTTTTTTTTTTTTTTTTTTTTCAGTCTGGCCACATGATCGAAACTTGTCCGCGCATTGAACGTAACGTTCTGTCACGCTTTTGTGCAGTGTGAAAGCTCTCCCTCCCTCAAAAAAAACCCCCCCACAAAAAACCCATCCTGGACACACCCCTGTCAAATAATGGCGGAAAGAAAATGGATTGGTGATTATTGATTTCATAAAGAGTGTTTTTGTTTTGTGTGTTTTTGAAATAGTGTTAGTTGTTTTTTCTTTTGCTGTCAAACTAGCAGAAAGGGCTCATATTTGGTGAGGTGTGGTTTGGGGCAAAACAATCAATCTTTCCATTTGCCATCGTCCCCCTTTTTGGTCCAAACTGACCCCCCCCCC